CGCCGGCGCGGCCACATGCAGGTGGCACTGACGGTGGCGGCGCGGCGGGCGCAGGCCCGGGGGTTCCCCACTTTCGGGCACACAGCACTGTGGAACGGGCCCATGCAGCAGCTGCAGGAGCTGCTGGGCCACCAGCGCCTGCCGGGGATCTGCCACTACATCCTGCACAACCCCGGCATGGACAAGGACGGGCCCTGAAGCCCCACCGTCTGCTTTCCGAGGCAGGGGTGTCACCGCGCCGCAGGACGAGGGAGAAAAGCCAGCCCCAAATTAAAGAGTGTTATGGGGTCTCTGATGGCTGCTGTGGGGTTGTGTCTCCCTGCAGCACTGACCGTTTCAGCAGTGACACGGCTTGATAGCTCTCGTGTCACCTCCCCCGGGAGGCACCCCGTTTACAGGACATGAATCTCAGCTATTCTTGGCCCCCCCAGGGAGGGTCTCAGGCAAATGGTGGCACCTGCAGTGTCACCCGCCCCACGGGATGGTGTCACCAACGGCTGGGGGTGGGATGGGCAGGCACAGTGGCTGTAGGTCACCGCCTGGGCTTCCTGGTGGGGACAGACAGTAACACACAGGACACAAGGTGAAGGTGTCACGGAGTGAGTCAAGGCGTGGGGGGGTGATGGGCACTGATGGGGGTGAGAGTGCCTGGGGTGATGGGGAGTGCTGGGATGTGGGTGACAATGTCCAGGAGCACAGCGAGGGCCATGGGGGTGACAGTGCCTGGGGGTGGTAGGGACAGATGGGGAGGTGACAGTGTCCAGAGTGATGGCGAATGCAGGGGTGGGGTGACCGTGCCTGGGGTGACAGGGACTACTGGGATAGAGGTGCCAGTGCCTGTGGGTGACAGGGAGAGCCACAGGGGTGACAGTGCCTGGGGGCGATAGGGACATCTGGGGGAGTGACACTGTAGAGGGTGTTGGGGACTGCCATGGGGTGACAGTTCCCAGGGTGACAGTGTCTGGGGTGATGGGGACCACCAGGATAGAGGGGTGACAGTGCCTGGGGTGACAAGGACTGTAACGGGACAGTGTGTGAGGGTGGTGGGGACAACCGGGGGTGACAGTGCCCGGGGACAGCCGGGCAGGGCCGGGAACAGCCGTGGCGGGGTGTCAGCGCCCAAGGGGGTGGGGGGGACCAGGACCCCCGCGGGGGTGGCCGTGCCCGGGGGTGCCGGGGGCGGCCGTGGCCGGTCCCCCAGCGCGGCCCCGCCGCTTCCGCCCGGGCCCGGCCGGGCAGGGGCGGGTCCCTGCGGGTTCCCGGTAGGGGCGGGTCCCGCCCCGTTCCCGGTATCGCCGGGGCCGCCGCCAGCTCCATGTCGCGCAGGGCCATGGGGCAGCCCCGGCGCATCACCGACTCCTTCCCGCGGCGGCGGCGGCGGGGCCCGGGGCGACCCCCGGGCAGGCTCAAGGACAAGGGCAAGGACAAGGACGAGGCGCAAGGGAAGGCGAAGGTGCGGGACCGCCCCCGCGCCGCCCCGCAGCCCCCGCCGGACCCGGCGCTCCTGGAGATGCTGCGGCGCTTCGACCTCTGCTGGGAGTACGGACCCTGCACCGGTGAGCACCCCCGGCCCTCCCCGGTGTCCCCCCCCTGGTGTCCCCCGGGCCGCCCCGGCCCTGCTGACCGCGCTGTCCCGCAGGGATCACCCGCCTGCAGCGCTGGGAGCGGGCGCAGGCGCTGGGGCTGAGCCCCCCCGGCCCCGTCCGGGACGCGCTCCTGGAGCACCGCGACAACCCCGATGTCACCTACAGGTGGGTGCGGGACGGGCGGGGGGCGCGGGGCACCCCCTCTGCCGGTGCCCCCCGCCCCGCCCGGGAGCCGCTGACCCCCGTTTTGCCCCCACAGCCTCTGGCACGAGTACGAGCTCTGAGTCGCTGCGCCGAGGGAAGAGAGGGGGGGCCGTGCCCGCCGCCCCTCGGCCCCCATCGCGGGGGTGCTGTGTGCTGTCGACGACGGGGGGGCACGGGGTGGGGTGAAGGCCCTTGGGGCGCCGGGGGAGGGCGGGGGGTTGTACCCCTTCCAAAACAGCCAGGCAGGGTGTCCAGTTGCCGGGACCCCCTTCCGTTTCCCCCCTCACTTCGGGGGTGCACCTGCCCACCGGAGCCCCCCACACCCCACAGGGGGTCCTGATCCACAGGGACGGGCTCAGCTGTCCCCCTGTCCTGGAAAAAAAAGGAAGAGGGGTGATTTCATTGCTGTGCCACCCGGAGAAACGGGATGGGCGGACCCATCCTAGGTAACTACACCAGGAATCCCACAGGAAGTTGACGTTACCTAGGTAGCCAGAGCAAAAACATGGAATTTGGCTGTGGATGGAACAAGACTGGGACCCAGGGGAAAAAAAAAAATCAGCTATTAGGTTGGAGAAAGGGAGGTGGAAGCGTAGCAAAAAAAGTCCAAAAATGGGGAAAAAATTAAGAATTGAGTAAGAATGAGCTCAGGGAGGGTATTATGAAACTAGGGATGCAGGTGACTATGGATTGTGCTGTTGTTGTCACACTGTCTGGCAGTAGGGAGGGAAGAGTGGACAATGTCCCGCGAGATTCATACGATTAAGAGCCTTAAATAGCAGCTTTGATGTGTGCAGAGTCATAAAGTAATAACGGGGATGTATTTGTTAATTATTTAGCTTATTGGTGACTTTATTCATCAGCTCTTTCTGCTGCTTAACCAATAAAATTGTTTCTCTCCCAAGCCTGCAATGGAGTGTCGGAGTCGGGAGTAACCCGGGATAGGGTGGAAGGGGGTGGGATGGGTGGGGGGCCACGGTGGGGGGACGGGACGCCACGATGGGGGGTGTGCCCCGCCTGGGGAGCTGCGGCCTCCCTGCCTCGCTTCACTGTTCCGCTGCCGGGCCCCGGGACTGCCCTGGTCCCAATTCCAGCCCTAATTCCATCCCCGATTCCAGCCCGAACTCCAGCCCCGGGGCTAGGCCGCAGCGGTTGCCATGCCAACCCGGAAGTGGAGACCCCGCGCGCGGCGATCCGCGGCACAACCCGGCACAGCTGAGCCCGCCCCCCGCACCGGCCTGGTCCAATCAGGCGCCACGGCGCCTCCGCCAATGGCGAGCCGGGCGGGCGTAGATAAAGGCCGGGCCTGAGGCGGCAGCTGCGGCCGGTTGTGTCTGAGGGTGCGGCCCCGCTGCTGCCCGGACCGCGGAGGTGAGAGTGTGTTGTTCTCTGCGTTTATGGACTAGGGGAGCTGGGGGGCGTTTATGTGCGTGTTGTGCTGGGCAGCGGGGGCTGGGTAAGCCCGTTACCTGCCGAGTGACTCCGGGGGAAGCTGTGCCGGGGCTGAGGGGCTGTTGCTCTCTGGGTATATCAAGTTTTGCTTTGGAACCCCAAAGCCTCTCCCTGTGCAGAGTTATGAGGTAAAGACTGCTTTAACTTGGTTTTTTGGTGCTGCATTAATGCTTTTTGCTCGTTCTGTGTCAATTTGCAGCCTCGCTCGTGGTTCCCCCTGGTGCTGGCGGAGTGGAGGTGGGTTGTGCTTCCTGCTGGGAGAGAGAACGGCCTGGGGAAGCTGCTCCATGAACCACAGCTGTGCCGAGCCTGGGAGTCTGTCCAGGTAAGAGCAGGGCTTATACTCCCAGTGAGGAGCTGGGTTTTGCTGTTGGAAGATGGAATATGCACGTGCCTTTTAAATCCTAGGATAGACAGAAGCTGGGAGGGACCCTGAGCAGGTTTGGTGGCACGACAGCAAGTTTTAAAAGACCTTGAGTGTTGGAGAAATGTCCAGGAAAACCGGTCCTGTTTTGCAGGGAGGCAGTTTGCAAGGACGGGGGGTTGCTGTGCTCTCTAGCAAAAATACTCCCCTTGGGATGTACAGGATGAGGAAATCTTGGCCACGTGTGGGCTGGAGAAAAGGTGTGTGGGTGCCTGTGTGTGACACCCGTGTGTGTGCAGGAAGGGGGTTCTGGTGCTAGATCCCCCTGCATTTATAAATGAGGCCTTCTTGTGGCTTCCTACCTGTACATGTTGGTGGGTTCCAAAGAAGGACTCTGGAAATCCCTTTTGGGCTGTCCACTGAACCCTTTGGACCAAATTGGGCCCCCCTGGAGGGACAGTGCTGTTGGTGCCCTCCGTGTTGGGGCACCCCGAGGACTCCAGTGCACACCAAAAGGATTGTTTGGGGAGATCCTCTGGGTGCCTGGGCCTGGGGAGTTCAAAGCAAGGTCCCTGGAAGGGATTCAGGCATTCCTGAGAGTATCACAGGTGTACCCTCCATGCTAGACATGGAGCTCTCTAATGGACTGTAATTGGGTTATAAAAGTGGTGCTCCAAGTGCAAAAGAAGTGTGGGATTGGGATTGAGAAATGAGCAGTGATGGTACAATTGGCTGTTTTCTCTTGAATGTAATGGTAAGGGCTCCAGGAGTGCAAGGTGTGTGTTCCAGTCCCCACCATTTGGTTTGTACATGTCCTGCTCAGACACAGGTCCAACTTCCTCAGTCCTTAACACAACAGAGGGTGAATGAAGGACTATCACTGTTAAGGTGATTGGTGCGACAGGGGTTAAACTGGGAAAACATTGGGTAATTCCTCAGTTTCTCTATTTACCAAACCTGTATTAGGAGGAGATTGAGTGGAAAAGTTGAGGCAGAAATCCAATTGAAAACTGGGGATATTGACACTGTAATTCCTGAAACTAAATGTGTCAAAGCAGCAGCTCTTCTTGTGCAGGGAATAAATCCTGTCAGCAGCAAGGTCCGGACTGAAGTGGCAGCTGCAGTTGTTCCTGTTGTGTGGGCCAGTGGAATTCCAGGAGAGTGGAAGAGGGCAGAACCTGTAGGTATTACCCCTAATATGGGATCTCTACTGGTAAAGCAAAGCCAGTATCCTTTAAAATCAGAATGCCAGCTTGGATTGGTTGCAGTAACAGCTAAATTTGCTCCTCATGGTTTGCTTGTAGAACGTGAACGCAAGAACCTGCCAAGAAAACCAATGGCAAAGATGATTGATTAGTGCAGGACCTGAGAGAACCCCCTTAAATGACAACCTCGAGTGGTTTCCAGTATTAGATTGAAAAGATGCCCTTTGCTGCATCTCCTTGAGCAAGGAAAGCCAAGAAACCTTTGCTTTTGCAGGATAAAATCTGGAAAGCGGGAAGGAGGAAAAGAAGCCACGTGACTCCTCCCTGAGCCCCAGACAGCCCATGAACTGCCTTCCTGGGAATGGTAGGACGTGCTGGACTCTGGATTGCTCACTCTGGATGTGTGGTAAGACTGTTATGCCAACTTTTAAGAACAGCCTGTAAGAATTTGCTGCCTTGGCTAGATGGTGCAAGGGCAGCCTTTAAGCAGCTAAAACATTCCCTGAGGAGAGCTCTGGGTCTGCCAGATCTCTCAGAACTGTTGGAAGCATCTTTGCTGGGGAGGGCAAACAAAGGACATTCCTGAGAGTATCCCAGGTGTACCTGTCCATGCTAGACATGGAGCTCTCTAATGGACTGTAATTGGGTTATAAAAGTGGTGCTCCAAGTGCAAAAGAAGTGTGGGATTGGGATTAAGAAACGAGCAGTGATGGTACAATTGGCTGTTTTCTCTTGAATGTAATGGTAAGAGCTCCAGGAGTGCAAGGTGTGTGTTCCAGTCCCCATCCTTTGGTTTGCACATGTCCTGGTCAGACACAAGTCCAACTTCCTCAGTCCTTAACACAATAGAAGGAGAATTAAGGACTGGCACTGTTAAGGTGATTGGTGCGACAGGGGTTAAACTGGGAAAACATTGGGTAATTCCTCAGTTTCTCTATTTGCCAAACTCACCCAAACCTGTGCTAGGAAGAGATTAAGTGGAAAAGTTGAGGCAGAAATCCAGTTGAAAACTGGGGATATTGACACTGTAATTCCTGAAACTAAATGTGTCAAAGCAGCAGCTCTTCTTGTGCAGGGAATAACTCCTGTCAGCAGCAAGGTCCGGACTGAAGTGGCAGCTGCAGTTGTTCCTGTGGTGTGGACCAGTGGAATTCCAGGAGAGTGGAAGAGGGCAGAACCTGTAGGTATTACCCCTAAACCAGAGTCTGTACTGGTAAGGCAAAGCCAGTATCCCTTGAAATTAGGAAGCCAAGTTGGATTGGTTCCATTTAAGAGCCAAGTTTGCTAATCATGGTTTGCTTGTAGAACATGAATGCAAGAACCTGTAGAGAAAGCAAGTGGGAAAGATGATTGACTCCTGGGAGCAGGGGCTGACAGACAGTGGCACTGGATGTTTGGTTGTGGTTGGGAATGAGCAGCTTGACCTCCCCAGGGTTGTCTGTGGTGGGTGTGGGTTTGGGTCCTGTGTGGCCACAGGTCTGTGCAGCAGCTGGAGCCTGGGCAGGTTTGGGGGGCTGTGGTGTCCCAGGCTCCTGAGTTTGTTGTCCCTGTTTCCT